TCTAATTGCCCAGGTTTCCCTTTCTTCTCTACTACTTTCCTCCCTATCTCAACAATGAATTTACTGACAAAGTCATGTCAAACCCCAGATCAGTCAAGCACATAAATTAGGCCAATTATTAGAATTCAAAGAGACTCATGAACTATAAACATGCAATAAAAACAACTATATTTAAGATTTAAAAATTGGATAAAGTAGTCTCCTTTGCCTCTGTATTCACCATGGTAACATTCTACACTTGGCCAGAAAAGCACAAGGTAGAAGCAATTCCACTAAAAACTCTGACATCAATTCCCCACAGGGTTGGGTCTTTTATACCTCAGGGGGCAAAAAAGCCAAACTAATGATGATCCAAAGAAAAAACATCCCCTCCACCCCTCAAAGGAAAACTGGCCCAGTCTACATAAAACAGGCATTGTTTCAACCATATTTGTCCATAGATCAAAGAGCCTTAATGAATTATTATAAGAAAATCTCCTGGACACATCGGAACTGTTGGGCAAAGTAAATTAGGATAGAGTCTATAAAGGTCCAACAAAGAGGAAATCTAGGGTTTACTCACTCAAAAAAGATAATGGCCAAACTCAAAAGGTTTTTAGGGTTAAATAAAAATTTTACTTGTGGCAAAGGGCAGGCAGCTCATATACTGAGAGATAGCAGTTTGAACAATAAAAAGTGAAAGAACAGTATACTGAAAAGCAAAGGAAAAATCACTAGTACCATAAGATAACTGATCCTAAAAGACTGAGAATATTCCTACAAGGGGAGAAAAGATGTGTTTTTAACATAATTTATGATTTTAAGTATTAATTGCATTAATTTGAGTTGAGATAAATTTTTTTTAGTTACAAACTCAGTAGACAAAAGAAAAGGAAAAGTTCAAATATTTTTAAAAGACTTAGCTAAAGGGTTAATGTTTACATACCAAAAGGAGAAGATTGTGGCTCCGTGTATGTTCTAAGTGTATTATTGTGACAACAGAGAAAACAGCTATGGGGTTAGATGAGAAGCCTCAAACACATGGCCCACTGGGTGACACTGCCAGTAGGCCTGATCCAGATTAAAATGTAACTGAAAGAGGGGCAGCTAAGTGGCACAGTGGATAGAGCACTGGCCCTGGAATCAAGAGGACCTGAGTTCAAATACGGCCTCAGACATTTACTAGCTGTGTGATTCTGGGCAAGTCACTTAACCCCAACTGTCTCAAAAAAAAAAGTAATTGAAACATGTTAGACAAAATAAATAAAAACACAATAGAAGACATATAATGTTAATATGCGGTCATATTATGTCAATATGAAGCCTGCAGGAATGTTCACGGATGGTTAAGTGGCCCTTATGTCTATTTGGGTTTGACATCATTAATCTAAATGATGAGACAAAAATATTGTAGAGAAAGACAAAAGGACCCAAAATGGCGGAGTGAAAGCAGTGACTTGCTTGAGCTCTCCCCCAAACCCCTCCAAATACCTGTAAAAAATTACTCTAAACAAATTCTAAAGCAGCAGAACTCACAAAAAGACAGAGTGAAACAAATTTCCAGCCCAAGACAGACTGGATGATTGATCAGAAAGGTCTATCTCGCCAGGCAGGGAGAGGAGCAGTCTGGGGTGGGCACACAGGCAAAACAGGTCTCAGTGAATCTGGAGAGGACTTAATCACAGGCAGCTGTGGCAATTTCCAGACTTCTCAACCCACAAACACCAAAGACAACTTAGAAGGTCTGTAGGAAAGGTCTGTGACTGCAGTGAGAGAAAGAAACTTAGTCCCAATCCCAGTTCCCAAGTGCAGCGCCAGGGCAGCGGTTGCCTCCAGAGTTTCTGGCCCAAAGACTGAGAGAGAATCAAGTGGCTGATCAGAGGGGGATTGCAGGGATCTCTTTGCTAGTGCTGAGGCAGGAATCTCTTGCTTTGCCCATGCTTGGATATGGGTCAAAATTCTGGGTGGTGGGTCTTGGGGTGAGGAGGAGTACTGGCGTGGTGGAGCTTGTAGCGGTGGTATAGAGGAAATCCTCCTTACTGTTCCAAGGCAGAAAAGAGTGCTTGCAGTCACTCATGGACCAGAGCACAGGCCAGGAAAAGAGTAAACACCTCAACCCTTATTATACCACCTTGGAAGAACTGAAAATTTACAGATTCCTAGAAGTATCTCTGAAAACAGTTGCACAAAACCCCTGAAGCTTGGGACAGTACATTCTCCACACTGGAAGCAGACCTCTACCTTAATAACGAGTTTAAAACTCAAGTAATTGGCCGGGATCATGACCAAGCCTCGAAAAAAAAGTCAGATCATAGAATCTTTCTTTAGTAACAAAGAAGATCAAAACATATAACCAGAAGAAGACAACAAAGTCAAAGCTCCCATATCCAAAGCCTCCAAGAAAAATATGAATCAGTCCCAGGCCATGAAAGAGCTCAAAAAGGATTTTGAGAAACAAGTAAGAGAAGTAGAGGGAAAACTGGGAAGAGAAATGAGAGTGATACAAGAAAATCATGAAAAACAAGTCAACAGCTTGCTAAAGGAGACCCAAAAAAATACTGAAGAAAATAACACCTTAAAAAATAGCCTAACCCAAATGGCAAAAGACGTCCAAAAAGCCAATGAGGAGAAGAAAGCCTTAAAAAGCAAAACTGGCCATATGGAAAAGGAAATTGAAAAGCTTACTGAAGAAAATACTTCCTTAAAAATTAGAATAGAGCAATTGGAAGATAGTGACTTTATAAGAAATTAAGAAATTATAAAACAAAACCAAAAGAAAGAAAAAATAGAAAACAACGTGAAATATCTCCCTGGAGAAAGCAAAAGAAGGGGATAAAGTGACAATATTTCTTGAATCCAGAAGAAATTTGAAAAAAAAATTGAATAAAAATTCAAATAGGTGAAGGGTAACAGGAAATGGGACTCATTAATCCTTGCATTATCTCAGTTAGGTAAGGAAAGTATAGGATAAAGTATAAAAATATTATAGCAGTAAAATAGAATAAAGTTATCTAGTACTAGATTAAGCAAGAGAGAAAAAAGCTGTATGTCTTCCTGAGGTGTGTGAAGAACTGTATGAGGTAGAGATTCAAGTCAGGCTGTTTCTAGTAGAACAAGCTATAGCTACCCAGGGCTAGGCCTCTTGTTTCAGAGCAGATCTATGGACCAATTTAGATCTGGGTTTTGCACTTGGAGTGTAGGGAGGAAAGATCTGTTTCAAGCAAAACAAGCTTCAGATATCTAGTATTTTTTTTTTAATAAAAAAAGAGATAATAACAAGATTTGCTGAAGGGAATACAAACATAATGATAACCTTGAATGTTAGTGGGCTGAACACACCCATAAAATGGAAGAGTAACAGTAGATTAGAAAATAAAACTCGATAATTTTCTACAGTCAAAGAAACATAGTTAAAACGAAGATTTATATAAACTACCAATTACAGGCTAGAGTCAAATCCATAATGCTTCAAATGAATCCAAAAAATCAAGCATAGGAATCATGACTTTGTAAAGGACAATAGTAAAAACTGATACTGACAAGAAAAACACACAGAGTAGCTACATTAAACTTAAAAGCATCATACTCAATGAAACAAAAAAACCAAAATCATTGCTAAATATACATGTACTAAGTGTAAAAAGTATCTGAGTACTTAAAAGGAAAACTAAGTGAATTACAAAAAGATAGCAAGACAATGATTTTAGATTATTTCAATATGTCCTTTTCAAACTTACATAAATCTACACACACACAAAAAGATTTTTTAAAAAAGAAAATTATGTATTTAAACCAAATGTTAGAAAAACTAGAGAGGCTGTTAGACCTCTGTCAATTATTGAATAGGAATCTTGAGTAGTATATTCATTTTTTCAGCATTGACAGCAACTCTTCAAAAATTATGAGCTAAGGTTTAAAAAAAGGAACTAATAAAGAAATACAGGAGACAGAAATATAAAAAAAGATATTAAAGAGATTCATAACAATGAGACAATACACCAAAATGTGTAGGATACAACTAAGGCAGTCCTTAGAGCAGGGCTCTTAACCTAGGGTCCACAGAAGCTTAAGAAGTCAATGAATATATATAAGTGAGTATACAAGCCTTCTTTGTTAATATTTCAATAACCATATTTCAATATAATTGGTTCTCCTTACAATCTTACATATTTTATTTTATTCATATAAAATATTACTGTGAGAAAATGTCTGTAGACTTCATCAGACTGCCAGAGGGGTCCATGACACAGAAAAAGGTTAAGAATTCTTCTTCCTGGAGTGGGGGAAAAGATGAGATGGGGAGAAAATTTGGAACTTAAAATCTTGAGGAAGTGAATGTTGAAAACTAAAAATAAATTCTTTTTAAAAAAAGAAGCTACTATGTGCCAGGAACTGTACTAAGCACATTACAACTCTGGAAGGGCAGGTGCTGCTATCATCTCTATTTTACAGTTGAGGAAACTGAGGTGCACTGGGGATTGGGTGATTTGCCCAGAGTTTCACAGCTAGTGTCTGAAGCCAGACTTGAACTCGGGTCTTCCTGACTCTAGGTCCAAAGTCCTTTCCACTTCAGCAGTGAACAGTACTTAAAGAGAGCCAGTTGTTAAACATTTACCAGCACAACTCTGATTATGTGTCTCTTTAAGATAAATATGTTTTTGGGGCAGCTAGGTGGCATAGTGGATAGAGCACTGGCACTGGAATCAGGAGAACCTGAGCTCAAATCCAGTCTCAGACCAGACACTTGACACTTACTAGCTGTATGACCCTGGCAAGTCACTTAACCCCAACTGCCTCACTTAAAAAAAAAAAAGATAAATATGTTTTGAAAAGTTTGTATTATTGGTACAAGCTTTGTTGCATAAGGCAAGTCTCTTCCTCTAACCCCCCTGCCTCTGTTTTTCTATGTGTAAAACAGGGATAAACTATTGTCATAGAAAAATCAACAGAGATAAGGAACACGCATAAAGCTAGACATACTTTAATGGTGGATATTAAATGAACATTCCTAATAATTTTACCTAATGATCTTATACATCATGGGATTGGTGAAGAAAGGTTCATCCAACTCATTGTGACCCCACTGCCGGTAGCACAGCAAATCAACAATTACATCCTTGCGAAACTGGCGCTGGTATTCCACAGCCAGGCGGGTGGCATGGACCACTTCCTCAGGGTCATCTCCATTGACGTGGATGACAGCACAGCCAACAATTTTACCTGAAGTAGAGTGTGGCAATACTAATCAGGCTAGGTAGCACCAAACATAGAAGAAATATTTTTTTAAGTCACTAATCAATAAACATTTTATAAGTGCCTACTATGTGCTAAGCACTAGGGATACAGAGAAAGGTAGAAGACAGTTTATTCACTCAAGGAGTTCACAGTCTAATGGAAGAAAGACTGAAGCTCTGTATAGTCACAGATTCATTATATTTCAAATTTTGTCAAGATGTTTCAATTCATTATGTGAAAGTCAGCCTCAAAATCTCTATACTTTTCTTCCATTATCTGAGAATCTAAAATTATATAATACATTCAAAAACATTCTCAAATGTTTTCAAGCCAACTGTCAACTTGGTAGTACTTCTGCTGGCCATTGGGCCATGTCTAAAAAAATACAAAAGGAGATGAAGTCTGAGAAATATCTACTGCCCAAACTCTGACATGCATGGACAAATCTTTGAATTTATTTATCTATACAAAATATATTGTAGAGGTGTCTAGACTACTGTAGATGTTATTAGGTAGATCCAAAATTGAATAGAAGGAAAGGAACACACTAACTTGTGGTAGGTGAAGTGTGCAGCAATTATAGTGATCCCAAGTTGCTCTCTGATGCACACACATATATGCACATATATATGCCACCCACACACACACACACATACACCACAGCTTTTTAATACAAATATGTTCTAGTGATACTATAACTACAAATCATGGAATACCATGTTTTCTGAAGAACTAAAATTACAGGTGACTCACAAGGACAACGGATAGATGCATGGTAGGCATAAGTAGGTTAAATCACAATAACTTGCTCACAAAGAATAATATAAACCTCATTATTTAGTAAGTGTACAATCAAAAAGGGAGATGGACCAGTCATTTAACATATATAATAGGATAATAGGTGGACAGCTAGACTGTTATACTGGTATCCACAAAATGTTAAGATATCTAGAGCAGAGGTTCCTAACCTGGGCTACACAGACCCCTTAGAAAGTTGACTCTTTTAGGGAAGGTTCATAAACTTGAATGAAAAAAGTCACATTTTTATTTCAACATAATTTGCTTCTTTTGTAATCTTTTGTATTTTGTTTTGTGCACTTAAAAATATTACTCTGAAAAGGGGTCCGTAGGCTTCACCAGATTGCCAAAGGGGTTTATGATATAAAAAAGGTTAAGAACTCCTGATCTAGAATGATTCCAACATGTGAGAGAGATAGGTTCTTAATGTGAGGACTAGGAAGAAACATAGCCAAGAATCACACAAGATGAGGAGGTATGGATAGAATAGGAGCTACACTACTCTGAAGTGAGCAGACACATTGAAGAGATAACACACCCACTCAAATAATGCATTAAAAGCCCTACATAAACAGCATATGACTCAGTCACCCCCTAGTGTAGCCATGGTACCTACCAATGTCACTACAATACAAGGAAGACCTTCCTCTTTCTGCTGGAGTGGTATAACCCAGCTGGTTATTAACAATTAGATGTATACTTCCACCAATTCTGAAATGTGGGAGATTAGAAAGCGTAAACGTTTCAGGAACAATCCCTTGACCACAGAAAGAAGCATCACCATGAACCTAAATTATGGGGGGAAAAGGAACATAACAGGTTTAAGCATCAAGGTGAAGTTAACCGGGTTTTTTTAAAAACAGTAATGTAAAAAAAAATCTATTCATTATAAAATTTTCCACAATGATTAAACTGTGATCAAAAGGTACTTCCCAACTTCATTTCTCCCAGAAGCCATTACCAGTTGATCCATTCCCTCTGTCCCTGTATCACCTTGTATACAAAGCATCCCAGTCATTCAAACACATATTCCAGAGCACACAACAAGACACAGTAAACCCTGTCAGAGGAGGTAAAGAACACCTAAGCAATGTATTCATAAAGACAGCTTGCAAGACAAAAAGGAACTTGCTAGACAGTATTAAAAAAAACCACTCAGCCTCCTTTGCCTTGCCTTCTACCTCCATCATCTCTTTCCCACCAAATGCAAGTAGATGACAACACCTAATCTTCCCTGCATCTTGCAGCTGGCACCATGAACATGGCAGTGGGAGAAGTGATGGGGAGGGCAAGAAGTTGAGAGGATGGTGGCAATAAGATTCATAAGAGAAACAAGAAGCTATGAGAAAGCAATTAAGGATTTAATGCTCAATCCCACCCGCTTCAATGAAGTCCTACTCTAATACCTCATTGTAGCATAGAAGTGACCCTGGGTTCTTAAAGTTTAAGTTATAAAAGTACAAACTCTGTCAAATCCTAGGTCAAGCTGCCATTTTCCAAAAAGGGCTCTATATCTCCTGTCCAAGATCTAACACAACTAAATGGAGAGGTGTAATAGGACCACTATCTACCAAGATTCCTCCTCTTCTCACAACATGGGTTAAGCTAGACTTTCCTTGAGAGGAAATAAATCTGTCCTTAGCACTTGACTAGTGTAGGGGGTCAAGGCTCAAGATGCTCTCCCCCTGAGGTAGCTTTCCAGTAGCCTCTGGCCATACTGAGGTAGCTTTTTGGTCACCTAAAGGCATAAAAAGCTCCACTCATTAGAGTCGGGGCCCTTCAGACTTGGTAGATTTCCCAAGACCACATGAATCACCACACCCTACCATCCTCACCAGGCTAATTTCTATATGGAGATGAGAAGGATCAATAAGAGGAGTCACATCTACCCAAGCTAAGTGCTGAGGTATCCTTGTTGAATATCCTATCTTAGTATGACTAAGTGAACCTCCTTTTTTTTGCTTAGGCAATTGGAGTTAAGTGACTTGTACAGGGTCACATAGCTAGTAAGTGTCAAGTGTCTAAGGCCAGATTTGAACTCAGGTCCTCCTAACTCCAAGGCCAGAGCTCTATCTACTGTACCACCTAGCTGCCCCCATGAACCTCGTTTTATTAACTGTTGAATCACTTAGTGAGTTCCACATTTCATTATAACACTGAACCTGAACTAACAAGGTACCAGCCTGAATCAGGCCTGTCTCTAACAAGAGGTTGATCACTAGATTTGCTGCAGGGTAAGGAATCTTTTAGCCAAAGCAGCTCTTAAATATCAGTTATTCTATTACTGAGGGATTGCAGTCTGCATCAGAGGAGGGAGCACTTGCACTGAACAAACAACAGATCTGAAAACTTTTAGCGCTGAAGTAAAAATTACATGGAATAGAACGTGCTACTTGTCTAGAATGTTCAAGTTCCTGAGATAAGAACCAGAACCATTATGAAATCTGGCCATCAGAAAGTAGAATGGGATGAAAAACCAGGGGGCAAGGAAGGAAGGAGTATGGGTTTTGGAAAAGAATGAGAATCATCCAAATTTTGACCTTGAAAGCAGTGATATTCTCTGAAACATTCGTCCAAAGATGGGGTCCTGAATAGACCTAAACCAAAGTGAGGACTGGCTACAATAAAACCCTAGGCATTTTATGTACAGAAGAGAGAAGAGAATGGAAGGAAGTTCAGGGGGAAGCACAAATATCAAGCCAGTTTAACATATAGGACTTATTGTTTTAAAAAATGCAATATGAAATAGAGATCAATCATTTCATATAGAATCCTTGTGTGTTTTGCTTTTTGGTGTTTAAGTTCAGCATTTTAAAAAAAATTCTAGATATTTTAGTGGGAAACCCCCCCGCCCCGGAAGTGAATCTATTTACCAATTGCTACTAAAACATGAGCCTTCATAATAAACTTATCTAATATCACATCATCTGAACTGCTTGCTTCCCGTACTAGTATAGACTATATGAAAATATTGGAGTAGCACATTCACATTAATGAATCACTACCATGCAACCCATAATGACACAAAAGACCCAAAGCCAAGAGCCCATGTGGTATCTTGCTAAGTCCTGGGTCTCTTTGTCCACTCCCAAGCCCCCAATTCTGACCAAATTCTCTATTCCGTCTCAAAACCCACACTCTGTCTGCCAACTCCATACCTAAAAATGGCCTAGAAAAAAAACAAAAAACAAGTATGTATCCTCCCCACTCCAATCAGGGCTAGAAGCCTTTTCTCTCTCTGATACCCCTAAATAACATAGCAAAAATACTGCTGTAATCAACCACTCCCCTTTTTAAATTGTAGATGCTTTCTCTGTCACCCAGCATGTTAATCTCCTGTCATATAGGCAAAGAAACTGCTTTTCTTCCTCACAGCTGGATACTCTTATTTCAGCGTAATAGAGTAAAAGGGAGTTCAGTAAGGGGGAGATAAATCAGACTGCTATCCCCCAGTACTCCTATTAAAAAACACTTATTACAGAAGTTATTATTCATTTCATCTGCTACAAGAATATATAGCATCTGTTTCCAAACTTGCATCATTTTGTCATGCTCTTGTGATTCTTGGCATAAAAACATGCAAGTATTATCCGTTCCATAATTTTTGTTAAAGCTTGTCTCACTCTGTATTCCCCTCCACACATATACAACAGTTTTCAAAGGAAGATAAGCAAAGGGCAGAAAGAAAACAGCTGTGTCAGAAGAATTAGCTGCAATTCTAAAGATTTCCAGTTGGAAGCCCCCACAAGAAGTAAGAATTACATAATCCAGCTAAAACAAGTAAAGAAATGTAAAGTTATAGCAGAAATAGAGACATCTGGAAAGAAAGGAGGTATAGGAGGCCAGTAACCTCAAAACCAGCCATTTGCCAAGCCTTAGTTCCCTCTTGTGAGGGGTCAAGTGAGATTTTACATATGTTATATTTACATATATTACATATATTTACAGTTGTTACACATATACAATGCTTTATATGTGATGTCACACTATATTCAAATTATGTTTCCATATGGAACATACATGTTTTACATACATGTATGCTACATGTATACACAGTTATACAGTGCTTTAAGGTCTGCATGTATAAATATGCAAACCTTAAATATATAAGTATATATGTATATATATACATATATATGCAATCATTAAAGCACTGTATAACTGTAAGACACTATTATTATTTTAAATAAAATCTTTTATTTCCCATACTTTCTTCAGAGGTCAACTTTGAATCTTGTCTCTTACTCACAGAATGACTATGGGCAGGTGCATTAAATTTAGGAGCCTCAATTCCTTCATCTATAAAATGGGGCTAATTCCAGCACTGGTTGTTCAGGGTTACTGTAAGGATTCAGTGAAATAATGTAAGCAAAGTACCTGACAGATTGTAAAGCTATCATATTATAAATGTAATTTATACTGAATGATATAATAAAATATTAATTAGTACAATATTTGTAATAATATTTATAAATGTCTGATATTAAAATGACAAAGATTTTTACTATTATTTACTAGGAAAATTTGAATGACCAATTTAATTTTGTTTATGGATCAAAATGGAAAGAGCATGTTCTATTGATTACTTGAAAATACTGTATATACTATCAGACACTACTGATATGTCAGTTTTGCTGAAATGCTTTCTTTTCTTCTTTTTCTTCTCTCTTAAAAGGGATATCCCCTGAGCAGAGAAGGGATATATTCAGAAACATATGTAATATGAAAGCAAAAGATAAATAATTTTTTAAAAAAAGAAATGTCTTTTAATAGACTGTTGGTATATGATTTAAATTGTCTTCTGTTCATTGAATTGACAATTTTTTCCTAACCAAACTCAGACAGCCCATTCATTTTTCACATTTCTAACAGGGTCAATTTTCACACAGATAGAGTGTCAATAACATGGTTACTCAAGTAATTTTGTTAACTTACATCTGTTACAGTCTGGTCCCAACAATCATAAACTGATACCCTACTTTACAGATCAGGTAACTATGTCTTAGTTAGAGGGGTCAAGTGAGTTGTCCATGACCACACAACTAATAATAATGGCAGGGCTGAGATGAGAACCAACATTGTTAACTCGTAGGACAATTCTCTATTCACTATACCGGAAGTAATCGCTGAATATTTTGCTTCCATGTAATTTGATTAATTTACCTGATTGCTTCAATTTCCAATTATCAATACCTCAATCTACCACTCCCCTGGATAAACAAATAACACTATATCCTTAATGTTTAAAAACTGCTTATTGTTTAACAGAACACACTCTGGAACCAAGATCTATTAGGATTCAACTTTGAAGCTGGCTTTTCAAGGAATCAACTCTAGATTTGAAACTCTCTTCACCAAAATAAACAAAAAGGCTCAATTCCCTTAGTTCATTTCTAATCATTTAGTCCCACAGAGTCTAAAATAAATGAAAACCTAACTGTATCCCTGGGATTACAAAAGTGAATCTAATAGATATCTTCTGCTTGGAGTATACGAAAAGGAAAAGAAATGCACATAATAGTGGTTTGGTTGAATTTGCTTTGATGCCATTTGTCTTTTTTTGTTTGTTTGTTTGTTTGTTTTTTAATTTTTCAGTAATTGGGGTTAAGTGACTTGCCCAGGGCCACACAGCTAGTAAGTATCAAGTGTTTGGTCTGAGGTCGGATTTGAACTCAGGTCCTCCTGACTTCAGGGCTGCTGCTCTATCCACTGCACCATCTAGTTGCCCCCAAGATTCATCTTGTTTTTTTTAAAAAAAAATATTTTGCTACCAGGCTTTAGACTTCTGAAAACCATGCAGATTCCTAGCTGGCTAAAACTTTCAGGGAAATGATGTAATCTGTACTTCCTGTAAGGAGCAAAGAGACTATATTGACCACCCACAAATTCCAAATGCTTATGAAGAGAAAACCCAGATGAAAGATCCCCCTAGGGAGCTAGGGCCAGATTCTTGCAAGTCTAGTTTTTAGATCTGGTGCTGACAGGTTTAAATGACCAGGAAGACTTCTTTCCAGAAGAAGGACACCAGTCATCGATCACCATCCAAGCCACTAAACATAGCCTTCTGCTTTCCTATCCCTTTTCATATCTGCTCACCTGCTTCTAAAATAAAGGGCTAAAATACCTGCAGACACATGACTTTGTCCCCTGGCTGAGCAGAGCTGTCTGTAGAGTAGTCACCATCTAATTGGGACTGCTGTCTCCCACGAGTTTTACCAACAGCAACAGGGTTGACAGCTTCAAGGTGAGAGGGATTGGGCAGCATTGTAACATGAAGAGGTCGATGAGATCCAAAATCAAGGTCCACAGAAGAGGTCAAATGAGAAAGGACATCTCCAGTAGCAGAGATGCTCTCTGGAAATTCACTTAAGCCACGCATCTTACGGAACATCAGCTGTTTAGAGTAAACAGAGCACAGTAGTTGAAACAAATGAACAAAGAGAAAATTGTACTTCTGTGACAGTAGAGACTCAAGGAAGCTCTATTTTTTAAGGGCAAGAAAATTTATTCAATTTAGAAGTCCTGGCAGCTTTGGACTGTTTGTATAGACTATATACACAAGAATCATTGCAGGTAGGCATTAAAATGGGCGCTCAAATTCACCTGTTCAGTGCTGAGAACAATTTATAGATATTCAAAACTTCATTTTGTAGACATTCAACTTCAAAATCAATATATTTTAATAGAAGCCTATTAGTAATGCATATGTCAAGATATCTTTGACTTCTTTTATATAAATTTATTTATTTTTATTTTTCAACATTTACTTCCACAAGATTTGAATTCCAAATTTTCACCCCATCTTGCCCCTTCCCCCACCCCAAAATGGCATGCATTCTGAATACCCCTTCCCCTAGTCTGCCCTCTCTTCTATCTCTTCCCCCCTTCTTTTATCCCCTTCCCCTTCCATTTTCCTGTAGGGCAGGATCGATTTCTGTACCTCATTTCCTGTATTTCTTATTTCCCAGTTGCATGTGGAAACATTTTTTTTCAAACATGTGTTTTTAAAACTTTGGGTTCCAAATTTTCTCCCTTCCTCCCACACCCCCCACCACCCTCATTGAAAAGGCAAGCAAGTCAATACAGGCCATACATGTGCAGTTATGCAAAACACTTCCACAGTAGACATGTTGTGAAAAACCAACTCTATTTCTCTTAATCCTATCCTGCCCCCCCATTTATTCTATTCTTTCTTTTGACCCTGTCCCTCCTCAGAAATACTTCCTTCTGATTACCCCTTTCCCAATCTGCCCTTCTCTCTATCATCCCCCTGCTCTCTTGTCCCCTTCCTCCCCTATTTTCCTGTAGGGTAAGACAGATTTCCATACCCAATTGAGTGTGTTATTCCCTCCTTAAGCCAAATCCTATGAGAATAAGATTCCCTCATTTCCTCTCACCTTCTCATTTCCCCTCCACTGTAACAACCTTTTCTTCTCTGTTTTGTGTGAGATAATGTACCCCATTCTATCTCTCCCTTTCTCCTTCTCCTAGTATAATCTCTCTCACCCCTTAATTTTATTCTCCAGATATCACCCCTTCATCTTTAACTCACCCTGTGCCCCCTATCTATCTATCTATCCATACATACATATAATTTTTTCCCTTCCCACTACCCTAAAACTAAACAGTTCAGTCTTAATAAGTCTCTTATGATTTCTCTTTCCTGTTTACCTCTTCATGTTCCACTTGAGTCTTGTATTTGAAAGTCAAATTTTCTATTCAACTTGGTCTTTCATCAGAATGCTTGAAAGTCCTCTATTTCACTGAATGACCATTTTTTCCCCTGAAGGATTATACTCAGTTTTGCTGGGTAGGTGATTCTTGGTTGTAATCCTATCTCCTTTGCCCTCTGGAATTATATTCCATGCCCTCGTCCTTAATGTAGAAGCTGCTAAATCTTGTGTTATCCTGATTGTGTTTCCACCATACTTGAATTGTTTCTTTCTGGCTGCTTGCAATATTTTCTCCTTGACCTGGGAACTCTGGAATTTGGCTACAATATTCCTAGGAGTTTTCCTTTGGGGATCTCTTTCAGGGGAGATGGTGATTCTTTCAATTTCTATTTTGCCCTGGTTCTAAAATATCAGGGCAGTTTTCCTTGATAATTTCTTGAAAGATAATGTCTAGGCTCTTTTTTGATCATGGCTTTCAGATAGTCCAATAATTTTTACATTCTCTCTCCTGGATCTATTTTCCAGGTCAGTTGTTTTTCCAATGAGATATTTCACATTGTTTTCTAATTTTTCATTCTTTTGGATTTGTTCCTGTGTCTGATTTCTCATAAAGTCACTATCTTCCAATTGCTCTATTCTAATTTTTAAGGAAGTATTTTCTTCAGTAATCTTTTGGACTTCCTTTTCCATTTGGCCAATTTTTCTTTTTAGGGCATTCTTCTCCTCATTGGCTTTTTGGACCTCTTTTGCCATTTGGGTTAGGCTATTTTTTAAGGTGTTATTTTCTTCAGTATTTTTTTGGGTCTCCTTTAGCAAGCTGTTGACTTGTTTTTCATGATTTTCTTGCATCACTTTCATTTCTCTTCCCAGTTTTTCCTCTACTTCTCTTACTGGCTTCTCAAAATCCCTTTTGCGCTCTTCTGCCTGGAATGGATTCATATTTTTCTTGGAGGCTTTGGATGTGGGAGCTTTGACTTTGTTGTCTTCTTCTGGTTGTATATTTTGATCTTCTTTGTCACCAAAGTAAGATAATATATATAGTCTGACTCTTTTTGCAAGGTTTACTCATGATCCCAGCCAACTACTTGAGTTTTAAACTCTTTGTTAAGGTAAAAGTCTGCTTCCAATGTGGAGAATGTACTGTCCCAAGCTTTGGGGGTTTGTATAGCTGTTTTCAGAGATACTTCTAGGGACCTGTAAATTTTCAGTTCTTCCAAGGTGGTATGATAAGGGTCGAGGTGTTTACTCTTTTCCTGGCCTGTGCTCTAGTCTTTGAGTGACTGGCCACAAGCAGTCTTTTCTCCCCTTGGAACTGTGAGGAGGGTTTCCTCTTCACTGTCACTACAAGCCCCACTGCACCAGTGCTCCTCCTCACCCCAGGACCACCACCCAGAACTGTGACCCAGATCCAAGCATGGGCAAAGCAAGAGATTTCTGCCTCAGCACTGGCAAAGAGATCCCTGCAGTCCCCCTCTGATCAGCCACTTGATTCCTCCTCGGTCTGTGGGCCGGAAGCACAGGACGCAGCCACTGCCCCGGCGCCTGTGCTCTGCACTCTGGAAGTGGCTCTGAACTAGCTCTTCTCTCACCAAAAAACAGACTTTTCTCACTGACCTTCTAAGCTGTCTTTGGCATTCGTGGATTGAGGAGTCTGGAAATCACCACAGCTGCCTGTGATTCATTCCTTTTGAGGCCTGCCAGGTTTGCTGTGGTCTGCACGCCCAAGCCGAACTGAGCTCCTCTCCCCACCCGGCGTGATATGCCTTTCCAATCAACCATCCAGGCTGTCTTGGGCTGGAAATTTGTTTTACTCTGTCTTTTTGTGGGTTCTGCTGCTTTCGAATTTGTTTAGAGCCATTTTTTATGGGTATTTGGAGGAGTTTGGGGGAGAGCTCAAGCAAGTCACGGCTTTCACTCTGCCATCTTGGCTCTGCCCCCCTCAAGATATCTTTGACTTGTGAAAGGTATATATAAAACATACACATAGGAGCTACAAATTAAATGGGGAAGGGAAGTAAGGGAAGAAGCATTTATATAGCCCCTACTATGTGCCTGGCACTGTGCTAAGTGCTTTACAAATATTACCTCATTTGATCCTCACAATAACCCTGGGAGGAAGGTGCTGTTATTGACCCCATTTAACAGTTGAGGAAACTAAGGCAAACACAGGTTAAGTGATATACAGCTAGTATACATCTGCAGGCATATTTGAACTCAGGTCTTCCTGACTCCAGCCCCAGAGCTTTATCAGTTGCGTCTTGGTACTAGTGGAAAGTTTCCACTAGTAAAACTGGGAAGAGTTATGACAGCAGATAATGAATTCTTTTTTTTTTTTAGACGTGTAGTTTCAGGTGCCTAATGGAACATTCATTTAGAATTGTCTAACTAGTTGATGATATAGGGATCATATCCCCATGATGATATGGAGAGAGCAGTCCCACAAAAACCCAGAGATAAGAGAATACCTAGGAGGAAAGAGGGTCAACAGTATCAAATACCACAGGGGTTAAAAATGAAAAGGACTAGAAAAAACCAGAAGATTTGGCAATCAAGAAACAATAAGTAACCTTGGAAGGGCAGTTTTGGTTGAGTAATGATGTCAAGAGCTAGATTTCAATGGGGTCAAAGAGAGGAGAGGAAACAGGGAGTGCTCAGCTTTTTTCTGGGAGTTTGGTTGTAAAAGGGAGGAGACACAAGAGAACAATAGCTTGAGAGGATGGTAGAATCAAGTGAAGGTTTTTTTAAGGATGAGGACATCTGTGAATTTTTGTAGATAGTACTAAAGGAGCCGAGAGTACTCATATTTTAAGAAATATGCTTCAATCTAAGACATCTCCAAAGGCCTCAGGATGGAAAATGCTATCCACATCCAAAGAAAGAACTATGGAGTTTGAATGTGGATTGAAGCATTCTATTTGCTATTTTTTTTCTTCTCCTGTGTTTCCTTTCCTCTTTCTGGTGGTTCCTCCTATTGGTTCTAATTCTTACTTACAACATCACTAATGTGAAAATATATTTTATAGAAATGTATATGTGTAGCCTATATTAGATTACATACCGTTTTGGGGAGGGAGAAGGGAAAGGAAGGAAAGAAAAATTCAAAACTCAAAAGCTTATGGAAGTGATTGTTGATAATTCAAAATGATTTAATTTTAAAAATATGCTTTAATGATTTTGAAAAACATAGGAACTCAGCAGATCTTAATCCTCACTTAAGCAAGGAATATTTTTCTCAAATTATGAATTAGGAAAAGTGAGCTGCCCAGTTTGACTACACAATAGAGCTCATGAAAGGAACTATTTTATTTTTTTAAAAAAGCTAGAAAAGTAGATTAGGACCCAATCATGAAGGTACTTGAATGACAGAGAAAGAAGTTCGGATTATCTGGAAGATAATGAGTAGTCGCTCAAAGTTTTTGTGCAAGGAAATAACTTGATTGACCCCGTGCAAAACAAAGATTACTTTGGAAGTGGTGTTAAAGATGGACAGTTGAGAGAAGGGATTAATCATCATCCTCTTACTATTAGGAAAACTGAGGCATAGGTATTTAAGTACTTGCCCCATGTGAAACTAATTAAGTGACAGAGCCACAGTCTCAGTGTCTAGGGCTTAACCACTAGACAACAGGCACTCTATATCAGAGAGGACCCCTTGAATATTTATAATATCAAAACAAGGGGGCAGAGCCAAGATGGTAGAGTGAAAGCAGTGACTTACTTGAGCTCTCCCCCAACCTCATCAAATACCTATAAAAAATGGCTCTAAACAAATTCTAAAGCAGTAGAACCCACAAAAAGACAGAGTGAAACAAATTTCCAGCCCAAGACAACCTGGATGGTTGATTGGAAAGGTATATTGAGGGCTGGGAGAGGAACGCAGTTCGGCATGGTCACGCAGGCCACAGTGAACCTGGAGCAGGCCTCAGAGGACCGAATCACAGGCAGCTGTGGCAGTTTCCAGGCTTCTCAACCCACGAACACCAAAGACAACTTAGAAGGTCAGTGGGAAAAGTCTGTTTCTGCGATGCTGAGAGAGAAGCTAGGTGGTGTCAGCTTCATTCCCCGAGTGCAGCCCGGGGCAGGAGCTGCGTCCTGAGCTTCCGGGCCACAGACTGAGGGGGAATCCAGTGGCTGATCAGAGGGGCATTGCAGGGATCTCTCTGCTGGTGCAGGATTCTCTTGCTTTGCCTGTGCTTTGATCTGGGTCACAGTTCTGGGGTGAGGAGGAACGCTGGCACGGTAGAGCTTGTAGTGGCTTTGGAGAGGAAATCTTCCTCACATTTCCAAGGCAGAAAAGAGTGCTTGTGGTCACTTACAGACCAAAGCACAGGTCAGGAAAAGAGTAAACACCTCGCCCTTGATCATAGCACCTTGGAGGAACTGAAAATTTACAGGTCCCTAGAAGTATCTCCGAAAACAACTGCACAAAACCCCTGAAGCTTGGGACAGTACATTCTCTACACTGGAAACAGACTCTTACCTTAACAAAGAGTTTATAACTCTAGTAATTGGCTGGGATCATGAACAAGCAGTGTAGAAAGAGTCAGACTATGTTATCTTACTTTGGTGACAAAGAAGATCAAAATGCACAACCAGAAGAAGACAACGAAGCCAAAGCTCCTATATCCAAAGCCTCCAAGAAAAATATGAATTGGTCCCAGGCCATGGAAGAGCTCAAGCAAGTAAGAGAAGTAGAGGAAAAACTAAGAGTGATGCTAAAGGAGACCCAAAAAATAATGAAGAAAATAACACCTTAAAAAATAGCCTAACTCAAATGACAAAAGAGGTCCAAAAAGCCAATGAGGAGAAGAATGCCCTAAAAAGCAAAATTGGCCAAATGGAAAAGGAAGTCCAAAACCTTACTGAAGAAAATACTTAAAAATTAGAATAGAGCAATTGGAAACTAGTGACTTTATGAGAAATCAAGACATTGTAAAACAAATCCAAACGAATGAAAAATCAGAAAACAATGTGAAATATCTCATTGGAAAAACAACTGACCTGGAAAATAGATCCAGGAGAGACAATTTAAAAATTATTGGACTATCTGAAAGCCATGATCAAAAAAAGAGCCTAGACATCATCTTTCAAGAAACTATCAAGGAAAACTGCCCTGATATTTAGAACCAGCAGGCAAAATAGAAATTGAAAGAATCCACCCCTCTCCCCCTGAAAGAGATCCCCAAAGGAAAACCCCCTAGGAATATATAGCCAAATTCCAGAGTTCTCAGGTCAAGGAGAAAATATTACAAGTGGCCAGAAAAAAACAATTCAAGTATTGTGGAAACACAATCAGGATAACACATGATTTAGCAGCTTTTATGACTGCAGGCCATGGAACATAATATTCTGGAGGGCAAAGGAAATAGGATTACAACCAAGAATCATCTACCCAGCAAAAGTGAGTATAATACTTCAGGGGAAAAAAATGGTCATTCAGTGAAATAGAGGACTTTCAAGTATTCTTAATGAAAAGACCAGAACCGAATAGAAAATCTGACTTTCAAATACAAGACTCAAGTGGAACATGAAGAGGTAAACAGGAAAGAGAAATCATAGGAGATCTGTAATATCAAAACAATTCAGGGACTCCCATGATAATAGTAGTAGTGATACTCATAATGTATATCTTATTAGAGCTAAATAAAGATGAAAATGACAATACTTGGGGTAAATATGTTATCTCCTAACAGTCCAGGAGTCTTGGACTACAGGCTGGGAGCCATTACTCTAAATCGGAGATAACCAGCAAGTGCTGGGATATTTGCCTCTTTTCCTACTTCTCACACAAGAGTAAGAAGGGGACACAAATTATGTCTAGCCTCAAGCAATATGCAAGATGATGGGTCTAGCAGGTAACTAGTGAAAAAAGGGCTTGAGACAAGAACATAAGAGAGATTTTTGATACCTATCTTGTAGACAGCTCCAGATACTGGGAGACTTGCTGTGATAAACTGAGGTCTATAAGGCCATGAAGATTAGCATGAGTTTGGAGAGGGAAGGAGAAGGAAAGAATAAAAGGGGAGAGAAAGAAAGAGATATATCACTGTGTGAGCCAAGATAAAACGTGGGGCGTGGCCCTCTGTAGAGGGATCCCTATCACCAAAACTACAAGACCCTGGGAATTTAAATGTATCTTTGAGACTAGTAATTGCTCATCATTTCAATTTTGTTTTCCTCATTTTAGTAACATTTTTCTCTGAAAAACTGTGAACGCCAGTACACAATCAGTCTCAGTAAACTAAGGGATATGTTTATGTTTTCCCATCTTTCTTGGGGAAAGACTACAGGAAATTCGAATTAGAAAGAGAAAAACCCCCTAAAGTGTACCTGGATCCTTTGTATCTGAAGACAATCTCTGACACAAAATATTATAGGACTTTTGTGACAATTTCTAGTCCATTGTATAGTTCCATGGATTGTTTTTTAAACTAAACAAATGAAGATTATCAAAGTTTTTGTTGTTGTTCAGTTGTTTTTTAGTTGGATCCAGTCTGACTCTTCTTGATACCATTTGGGATTTCCTGGCAAAGATACTGAAGTAGTCTACCATTTCCTTCTCCAACTCATGTTACAGATGAGGAAAGGTGGCTAATAGGGTTAAGTGACATAGCTAGTAAGTGTCTGAGGCCATATTTGAAACTCAGGTATTCTTGACTCCCGGCCTGGTGCTCTCTACACTTCACCATCTAGTGGCCCTTATCAAAGTCAATTACCTTCAATTATGGGACATAGAACACCAGTGAAATTTAATACTGAATAAACATTATTAATCTATGATCTTTGTGATGTCCCTTGATAGCAAATCTTTATCCTAAAGTTTTCAGAGAGAATTCTAAGGCAGATAAATTAGAAGGGGTACAAAACAGAGGTTCAGGCTTGGTTGGATTAAAAGGTGTTACTAATGTGATTATATTATGATAAAGAACACTATTTACAAATGAATGGACGTGAGTCTCCTTAGAAAACACAGTGCCACATAGCTGGAATTAATCTATTTAATCTTAACAACCTTGTGAGAAATAAAGTAAGGTTCAAAATTCCCTTAAAAATAAATGTGCAGGAAGATATATAGCAACTCAGCCTGAATGCTGGGAAGCTAGTCTTATTCAATAGAGCATAATTGTATTAAATAGTTGACACATGTCTACTTGGATTTTCAAAGCAAAGTACAGTCAATTCAGTCTGAAAAAGAAGGGTAGATTAGCCAATGTTAGCAAAAGACAGAAAAAGTATCTGTCTTACCTCTGGTGGGAACTGTAGAAGGCCAGTCAATAAATTAAGCCTCCCTCGATGGGGCATCCCAATGATGACATCTGTCACACTACTGTAGGCTGCCATCTTTAACAACTCATGGAAAAAACCCATCATGCTTTCTGCCCCTTCACCACCATATCGCTTTACTGTGGCAAATTTGGTGGCCAAAAAATGGTCAAACTCCTGGAGAACAGAATATCAGCTATTTTAGCAATACAACATCTGCACAATTGAAAGGCTCACAAATTGAACTTCTCAAGGACAAGAACTATTTCTTCTCATGTTTATATTCCATGTTTCCACAGTATCTACTACCTTATATGCATGTACTATTCAATTACAACTGCAAACTGTCAAAACTAACAGCAGCTTATATTTTTGGGGGAGGGGCAGTGTAGGGTAGAAAATGTGTGTTCCTCACAACTCCAATGAGTTAGATAATTTAAGTGTTATTTTCCTCATTCTACAGGTGAGAAAACTGAGGTTTAGAGATTTCATGAGGCTTGTCTTAGTCATTTAGGAATAGATCTATCAACAAACATTAATTTAGTGCCTTCTATATGCCAAGCACTGGGGATATAAATACAAAAGTGATACTCAGGATCACATAACTAGTAAGTGAACTGGGGAAGAGGAGTCTTCCTGGCTCTAGACCTGGTACTCTATCCACTGTGCCACCTAAGTGCCCATGCCAAAAGGAATAGTCCATTAAAATTTCTTATATTTTGGTGCTAAGCTATAAAGGACCAACATGTTACTTTGTATGGTGCAGCTGACCTATTTTCCACAAAATAAGGATTAAAAAATGACTACAAAGTTTCCAACAGATGCAAATAAAAAGTATGTGGAATTACTTCCATGTTATGAATGCAATATATACTATACTATAGGCAACTTTTCTTGGTACTTTACATGGGTCCATAATGTCAAAACTGTTTTTATAGTAATTTGAAGATATTATTTGCCCATTAAAATACTCCTCCTTTTCCAACTATACATCTGTGTGAAGTCAGATTTTTTTTTCATATATTTCAGTCAAAATAACATATTGCAACAGACTGAATAAAGAAGCAGATATGAAAATAAATAAAGGAATAAATAATATAAGAGTGAGACAGTCTTTGCCCTGAAGAAACTCATATTCTACAGTCCATGTGTTCATAGATAAATAAATACAGGCTATATATCCCTCAAATACAGTGATTGGAATGAACTGACAACAGGAAAAAAACCAGGAGGTCTTCTTGACAGAAGCAGCACTTGAGCTGAGTCTTGAAAGAAGGTGGGGATTCTAAGAGACTGAGATGAGTAAGAACATTTTAGGCACAGAGACAGGAGATGTAATGTCACATATAGGGAACAGGAAGCAAACTGGTTTGAATGCAGCACAGAGTGCAGGGTGAGTAATGTGTAATCAGCCTGGAAAAATAAGCTGGAATCAAATTGTGAAGGGCATCAGATATAAGAGGAATTTGTATTTTAACCCAAAGGCAGCAGGGAGCTTCAGAAACTCCTTAAGCATAGAAGTGACATAATTAGATCCGTGCTTTAGAAAAATCAGTATCAAAATATTAGTGAGGCAGCTGCATGGAAGATGGATTAGAGCGGGGAGACTGGATGCAGAGAAATAGGTACAAAGTACTAAGGACTAAATACTAATTAAATTGAGTGACTACTAAGTACTTCAAAGTACCAAGTACAAGTACTTAGACTAAGTTCTAGGTACTAAGACTACAAAGTAGAAAAATAGTGTCTTGTCAATTATCTGTCCAGTTCTCTTGTTCCTGGCTCAGTCACAGACTATACTTCTGGGTTGACAATTAAAAAGGAATAACAATAATAACATTTTTTTTTCATTTTGAACTTATATATAAAAAGACAAAAAAACAACATTTCCATGTATACAGAACAACATAAAGAGGATCCAATATATAATCATGAACTTCCATTTCATACTGTTCACTTAAAAAAAAAACCCATTAAGTACTAAATACTACACATTGTTTTCAAAGCTACCCTACTTTTCTGTGCTTCCTTCTAAGTTTTCTTTAGTTCTCTGCTGTACACTTTTTATATTTCCCACACACACACCCTAGAAAAGGTAACAATTAAACACAAATATATATACGCACACACACACGTATGTATGCTGTACATACTTCTATTTGTAGGTTCTTTCTCTGGAAGTGGATAGCATCTTCCTTCATAGATCCTTAATAGTAACAACATTTCACAAGGAATATGGCAAAAGGATATATATGCACAGTGATTTAAAGAAAAACAACACTCAAATTCAGAATATGACTGATGGTGAAGCATGCTTTCTATCTCTTCACAAAGAGATGGTGGACTATGGTGTGGAAAAAAGCGTACATTTTCAGTCATAGCCAATGTGTTTTTCTTGACTATACTTCTCTGTTACAAGGCCAGGTTCTATTGGAAGGTGGAGGAATTATGTGAAATTATACAATATTTTTTAAAGAGTGTCAATAAGACAAAAGAAAGAAAAGTGTCGATGACAGAAAAAAACAATCCTAAAATCTAAAACATCTTCTAGTAAACTATATTTTTCTCCTCCCTCTGTTACTTCCCATGATACCCTTCTAAGCATGCACAATGAATGTACTCACAAATATACACACTTTAAAAAAACCCAGAAGAAACTATGGGTTAAATCAATACAGAATTTTAATTTCTTCTCTTCAACTGACTTACTCAGATTTAAATATTTCTCCATTAAATAAGCCATATTGTTTCAACATACTCACAGACATCTTATACTACTATTTCTACACCAACATTTTGTACCTGAGATTCCAGCATTAGCCGGGACAGATGTTTTCTCTCTTCTGTAGTGAATGTCTCCTTTTTTAATTCCTCAAATCTACTTGCAAACCAATCTTTTTCCTCCTGAGTCTGCAGCTGGGTTGTTTCAATAGAAATCTGCCCACAGTAGATGTGGTTAAGGTAAGCCAACACTTCTTCCAAAGAGGCTTCCTCCTTCCCCATGCTTAGTAATCCTAGAGCAGAAATCAAAGGTGATAAAGGAAGAGATTTCAGCTCACATAACCTTTTCTTAATCTTTTACAACACGTCAGACTTTATTAAAACACTGATAAGAGGTTCTTATTTGTAACTCTAGTGCTCAATACAATGCCTAGAACACAGAAGGTATAATAAATGTTTATTGAAATGAACTGAATTTTAAAAAATGCCAGTTTTGTTAAACTGAGAACACAGTGGTCAGAGGTTATAGTGGTAAAAGAAAGCCTACATTTCTTCAGTGCTAGAACAAACATCTATTTGCTAATGCTTAGGATTTCCATATTTCTGCTCTATACTTATTATTTCAAATGGAGAATTCAAGTTCTCCAAAAATGTGACAGAATTCACCAAAATGTTATGGTAACCCATAGAATTTCTTTGTCTTCAGCAGGAACTCCCACAAATATTAAGACTATTACTGTAGAAGTACGTTTTGATGGACATGTAGTCAGAGATTCATGTGTTTAAATATCAGAACAATATATCTACAACGTAATTTTTAAATGAATTTAAGCAACTGTAGGAGGACAAAATGCAATGATTATATTATTCCAATCTTTGTTAAATATATAATCAGTGTACATATACAATTATCCATGTATTGACATATTCCATACAAATCATTTACACAAGCCACATAATATTCTATCATGTTAATATGTTACATTTAACTTAACTTCTTCTGAATTGTTAGGGTTTCAGTTTATTAAAATTGCCTTAATTTGCATTTTTAAATGGCTAGTGATGCTGTGCATATATTTATGTGATGATTTATTATCTCTTTTTAATATGTAAACCTTTTACCAACTGATTTCTTATCTATACACATCACTATCAGCTTAACGATCAGAATCCCAGCATTGACCTAATATATTTATATTTGGTCTTTACATACTTTAGATCAAAGTTTCCTGATTTATAGGCTGCTGACCCCTAGGGTGCCAAGAAATTATTTTTGCAAAGTAGCACTCCCTGTGGATCATTCCTGTTTCATCATCTCCTTTGCCTCTAACCCTCTCTGTTCTTCCAAAGTGACCTTACTGACCTCTCTGCATAGTCTTTATTTCATAATTGACAAATTCAACTACATATTGCCCTCTATCCTTGAATTCCTAGGTCCCTTCTCTACCACCATTCCATCTTGCCAGTCATCAACTCTGGGGCCCTCCCACCATCTATTTCTATTCCCATGCTACTGAATGACTATAGAGGACCACGAAAATTAAGTCCATTACAAATTATTGTGGCCAAACTCAAGTGGATCCTGAATGACTCTTTATAATGATTCACTCAGTTATTTCACTTGAACCTACCATCCCTTCAAGTTATCATCCTATATTCCTCTTTCTTTTTATTGAAAAGTGTCAAGAAAGACCTGTTAACTTTAGATCCCAGGCTCCACTTCCTCACAACCTACTCACTTTTCAACTGCTAAAAAAATCAAATTTCTGAGCATAATGCTTTATTAAGATTTCCTATCCAAGGTTACCAATGATTTCCCAACTGCTAAACACAATGGCTTTTTCTTAGTCCTCATCCTTCTTGACTTTTTAAAAAATCTCAATTGCTTTTAATACTGCTAATCAACCTCTCTTCCTGGATACTTACTCTTTCCTTGGATTCTAAGATTCTGTTCTTCCCTGGTTCTCCACCCACCTGTCTTCCTATTCCTTTTCAGCCTCCTCTTTCTGTGTTATCATCCATCTTCCACCTCACAAGAGTGGGAAGGCCATCTTCCCCTTCTATATTCTTGCCCTCAGTGGTCTCATGAGTCTAATTATCTCCAGAGAGTCAACTCCCAAATCTATATATCCAGCCATAATTGCTCTCACTAAGGTTGTCCAAGACCCTCTTCTTTCAATCTACAAACTCTCTCTAGGTAACCTCATCAGTTACATGCTAAACATTTTCACCTGGATGTGTTCCTTCATTATCTCAAACTCAACATGTCCAGAATAGAGCTCATCATCTTTTCTTCCTAAATCTATTATTTCTTCAAACTTATCTATTTTTTTTTGGTTAGGCAATGGAATTAAGTGACTTGCCCAGGGTCACAGAGCTAGTAAGTGATATGTGTCTGAAGCAGGATTTGAACTCAGGTCCTCCTGAATCCAGGGCCAGTGCTCTATCCACTGTACCACCTAGCTGCCCCCCAAACTTTTGTATTTCTATTTAGAATTCTGCCATCTCCCAGTCACTCACATTTGTAATTTCAGTTGTCTGTGTGGGCTGCCTCCACTTCCTCTCCTCTCACTCCTTAACCTTTTGCAAACTGGCTTCAGACTTTATCATTCAACTGAAACTGCTCTCTGCAAAATTATCAAAGATCTCTTAATTGACAAATCTGATTAAGTTTTTTCTCAGTATCCTTCTTGACCTATTTGTTGCCATGACACTCATGACCACCTCTCTCTCCTGAATTCTCTCTCCTCTGGTTTCTCATATCATTAATCTCTCCTGACTCTACTCCTACCTGTCTGAACACTCCTTTTGCATCTTATTTACTGGTTCAACATCCATATAACGTTCTCTAAGTGTTCCACAAAATTCTGTCCTGGGCTCTCGTCTCTTTACCCTTTACATTCTCTCTCAATAAACTCATTAGTTTCTATGGATTTAAATATCATCTCAATTCTATTGATAAATACGTCTGTTTTTAACCCATTTCACTAGCTGTCACTTTTGATTGATAGCTATCACTTTGGAATGTTTTAAAATATGGTAGGTTGAGCAAAAAAAAATATGGTAGGTTTAATCAAAATAGAAATCAGAACCATGAATCAAAATGAAATCTCCATCGCATTCCAATGGCTCAAATACCAATTGCTTGGGAAAGGTGAATGTGTACAAAATGTGTACTAAGATAGTAATTCCTTCTTAATTCAGATAAAAAGGTGCTGTCACTAAAAGATTCTGTTAGAATAGAAGAGTATTTTGACTTTCCACACGGAAAGAACTCTCCCCAGGCTACCCTTGAAAACTCTAGGTAATGCTTTGGTTTCAATAAGCAGAGTGTAAACTGTATAGATGCAGAATTGAAGACTGGTGCACATGAGTGTCCTAGCTTGACAGGCCTCATATCCCAACCATGATTGCTACTGAACTTTACCTGTGGTATTGAACGGTCCCTGAAGAGTCTCAACAAGAGTTTGGATTTCAGGTACATTCTCCATTACAGCTTGACCAGCAAAAAGGGGATTGATTTTGGCAGCTTTATGACCATGTTCACAGTATGCTGTGACCAAACGCGCAAGACCATGATCAACTAATATAAAGGAAAAAACACAGTTTATTAAAAGTTGTCTAAAAGAAGATACAGCATTATACACAAATTTTAAGGCCCTTAAAAATTGACCACAGACTCAATAAGTGGTCAAAGAATATTCTCTCAAAAGAATTACAAACTATTAATAACTATATGAAAGATGTTCCAAGTCACTAATAATATAAATATACAAATCAAAACAATTCTAAGCTTTCACCTTACACCCAGCAAATTGGCAAAGATGACAAAAGTACAGGAATAGTCAATGTTGAAGGGACTGTGGGAATACAGGCACATTTTAATAGAGGTATGAATTAATAAAATCACTTTGAAATTCATTTAGAATTACCCAAATAAAATTTCCACATGCTTTGAACCAGAGATTCTATTACTAGACATATATCCCAAGGAAATCATTGATACAAAAATATCCCCATATAGACCAAAATATTTATAATAGCACTTTTTGTGGTAGCAGAAACTGGTTTAAAAAAAAAGTAGATGCACATCAAACGGGGAATGCTTAAACAAATTATGTTACATGAATGTAGTAAAATCTTTTTTTTTTGGTGAGGCAAGTGGGATTAAGTGACTTCACCAGGGTCACGCTGCTAGTAAGCGTCAAGTGTCTGAGGCCAGATTTGAACTCAGGTCCTTCTGACTCTAAGGCTGTACCTCTATCCATCTAGCTGTCCTCTGTAATGGAATTTTTCACCTGAGCTCTGTTAACTATATTTTATCATAGTGAAATGTAAGAAATGACCAAGTTTTTCTTCAGAGACACCCTGAAAGTGTCCTTATATTGCTTCTTCTGACCACCATGGTGATCACTTGCCTAGTTCTCTGTACAATAGTCTTTTAGGGAAGCATATGTTTAGCATTCTAACAATGTGGTCAGCCCATCAGAATTGCACTCTCTATAGTATAATTTGACTTGGAAGATACCAGCAAAGGACCTAACTAATATGGCATGCCCACATCAAAGAAGGTGTTGTGCTCTATGAGCAAAGTAGAAATGAAGTAGCTGAAAAGAAACTCAATTTGTGCAAATTTAGAAAATCCACCCCAAACGTTCATATTGACCATTTGTACCCCACCTATGGTAGAACATCCCAAGTTCTTATTGGTCTAATCAGCCACAGCTGAACACATTGTAAGCTGACTCTAACATAGTGATGTCATTTTGGTCTTTTCTGAGAACAAAGGACAACAGCCAACCAAGAAATGACAAAAATCTGATAAATACAGAGAAGCATGGAAAGATACATACGACTAATATGATGAATACAGAGAAGAATAGAAATACTTCATAAACTGATTCTGAGTGAAATGAAGCCAAGAAAACAATACAGGTAAACAATGATTATGACAATGTAAATGGAAAATAACAACAAACACAAAACAATCTATGGGGTGAGGAAGGGGAGAGATGATACCGGGAGAAAGTTTTGGAGATATAAGAACATAAGAACCAATAAAATTTATTTTTTAAAAATAATTGTCAACTGATTTTTAAAAAGGCAATGCCCTACCCAGGTGTGCCATTAACAGTTTCTTTTACAATCTTCCCAAGACCAGACTTTATTTTTTTTCTTTTTTAGTGATTTAATTGTTGTAGGAAACCAGTGATATAGAAACTCCCTCCTCCAATATAACACAGATGCCTGGAACGTTGGGAGGTTAAACGATTTGCCCAATATGTGTATCAGAGACAGGACTTTATCTCAGGTCCTGCTGACTCCAAGGCCAGCTATTTAGCTATTTTGCTATGCTACCATTCAAAACACTTAATCAATTACACTGACTCTCTACTAAACTAAGATAGCCTAAGTAATGAGGTAAAGTTTTTGTTTTAACATCATTTCCAAGACTGATAAATAAAAAGGAAAGGGGAAAAGGCACTAACTAGTCAATGAAGCAATCATTTATTAAGCATCTACTATGTGCTAAGTATGCTAGGACTGGATATACAAAGACAAAAATAATTTCTGCCCTCAAGAAGCTTTATTCTTGGATAGGGAGCCACAGAAGTATAAGTCTAAATAAATACAAAGTATGTTCAACTATGGAAGAAAATACTGTCTTTAAGCACAAGGAAGGAAACAAGCATTTATTAAGCATCTATTATTTGCCAAGCACTGTGCTAAACACTTTACCAATATTATCTCATTTGATCCCTACAGCAATCCTAGAAGACAGGTAGAATTATTATGTCCATTTTAAGTTGAGGAAAGTGAGGCAGAAAGAGGTTAAGTGACTTCCCCAGGGTCACACAGCTGGTAAATATCTAAGACTGAATTGAACTTGGGTCTTCCTAACTCCAGGATGAAGCACTCTATCCACTGCACGACTTTACAGCTGCTATAGGCCTTCAGAAACAATTTTTAGAACTAATTTTTCATTTGTTGTTCAATCATTTTCAGTCATGGCCAACTCTTTGCGACCCGATTTGGGGTTTTCTTGGCAAGGATAGTGGAGTGGTTTGCCATTTCCTTCTGCAGATCATTTTACAGATGAGGAAAATGAGGCAAACAGGATTAAGTGACTTGCCCAGGGTCACGCAGCTAAGTAAGTATCTGAGGCTGGATTTGAACTCAGGAAGATGAGTCTTCCTAACTCCAGACATCATACTCTGTCCACTGCCCCACCTAGAACTCATTTAGATCATTCTAAATCTAAGCTTTTTTCTGCTTAGACAAAGAAAATTCGAAGGCGACAGAGTCCTCACATGCCTTTGGAAATCTCTTTAATAAAGCCATTTTAGAGTTCCAGTTTATAGTTTTCCCTGACAATAGGCAACATTACATAATAGGACAGAATACAGTTACAGAGCCCAGAAGAAAACTTGATTATAAACAGAACTATAGTTACATAATTTTCAGCATATCCTTGCAAAATCACTTTCCTAAAATCACTCAATCTCACTCTGATTTTTTCCTTTAATGCATCTCCTTTCCAGATGGTCAAAGATGAATTCAACAGTTATTTCCACAGAAGTAATAATACTTCTTCCTTCTCTTAGCCTGATCATTACCCTAATCCAGGTATTTTTCAAGAAAGAGGGTACTGCTCTTAAGTGGATCAGTGAAGGGTTCCTTGCCTTTGTCCAGTGACAACACTAATACTACCCTCAAGGAGAACAGTTTCTCCTGGAACATTCATGGAGGGTACCTCAAAGAAATAGGCAAGTGGGAAAGAGAATATAGTGAAATGCATTGGTTCAGAATTAACCGATAAGTTTTTCTTGCTCAGTTCTTGTCAATGGCATTATTGTCCTAACATTATTTTGTAATATGTAGTCACACAAAGCACTAGAAGCTAGCAAATCAGAAAAGGCCTTTTGCAGAAGCTCAGCACTTCAGCACACCTTGGAAGGAAGTTAGGGATTCTAAGGGGCAAAGGTGAGGTGGCATGGGAAATAGTCTGTGCAAAGGCCAAGGCAAGGATGGGGAATGGAATGTTGTGCATGAGTGAGTTAGCCAGTTTTATCTAGATGTCCAGAGCAAAGGGGAGTAATGTTAATAAGCCTAGGAAGGTAGGCAGGAGCCAGAATATGAAGGGCTTTTAAATACTAAACAGAAAAGTATATATTTTATCCTGGAGGCAACAGAGAGCAAAATAGGGAAGGCTCTTGAACACAGCAGTGACATAGTCAAACTTGTGCTTCAGAAGATTACTTGGGTCAGTGAATGGAAGGATTGGAAAAGGGGACTGGATTAGAACAATTAAGTGGCTGTTTCAATAGTCTAGAAAGATCAGAATCTATAAACATTTCAGGGGAAGGGTGATTAAAAACCACCAGAATCTAAAAAAGAATGTAATAGCCTGATTCTTAAAAGATTTTTTGTTTTGTTTTTTAAAAATCATTATTCGTGATTCACATTGCCACATTTTGGGGAAATAATTGTCAAAATTTTATCCTATGTTACTGAAAAGTTCATCATGTAAAGATATCCCTCTTCTTTTATGCCGTACATACTATATATACCCCACACATACAACCAGTCTTTCCTTTAAAAGCAGTTACCACAAAATAGCTATTTTCATCTATTTATCTCTGACCACCTCTAAACTAATCTCTAGCTTATTCAGGACCCCACAACCTATTCAAGAAATACTGTAAGAGTAATCCATACCTCCCCCACCTCCATTCTGAATTGGAAGTTTTTAATATATCAAAGTTTGTTTGAAAATTAGGTTCACTTGGAGCCAAAGCACATGATATTACTAATAGCCAGGTACAAGGTACACAAATTGTACAGATAAAAGTTTAACCAGTGAAAACATCACTATTTAAGAGGTTGCTCTAAGTGTAGTCACTATCTTTTTTAAGTCAAGACAAATTTTGAGAATAATTAAAAGTCTTGATGGAAATCAAATTTTCAGAATAATTTCATCCCAGTCATTACTGTATGAGGATGTGATGTGGCAGAAACTAGGGGTTTGATGAACACACACACACAAACACATACATATCCTTTTTGTTTTTTATATTCAGGGTGTTCCAAAAATCTCAATTCAGTTTTAAGTAAAGCTTAAGACTGTTAGGACACCTTATATCTGTGAACTTTTGGGACAACCTATATCTGTAATAGGAAAGCTTATGCCTTGTCAGTAAGATATCTAGTGGGAGTCACTAATAATTGCTTACTCCCTCTTCATATTTCCCAATCTGATCACTTTCATGACTTTAAAAAAAGGGGGGAAGGGCATTTTTTTAAAGGCAATTGGGGTTAAGTGACTTAAAAAAAGGGGGAAGGGCATTTTTTTAAGGCAATTGGGGTTAAGTGACTTGCCCAGGGTCACACGGCTAGTAAGTGTCAAGTATTTGGTCTGAGGCCAAATTTGAACTCAGGTCCTCCTGACTTCAAAGCGGGTGCTCTATCCACTGCGTCACCTAGCTACCCCAAGGGGAGGCATTTTTTAAGACAGCTGGCAAGATATAGGAGTGAAGTTTTGACCATGAAAGAAAGAAAAACCAGTGAAATGACCTTCATCTT